GATTCACAAAAACTAAACATTATTTCTGCAAAATAACATTTATTGTCAAATTTTGCTATGAAATATTAACAATACTATCCTTGGAATTCTAAGAACAAACATCTGCATAACTATTTGCTCTTAATATGAATAGACTGTTGTTAAATAAACATTTCGGTTAGGTGTAGTCACACACTCAGGAAGCTGAGATGGTGGAAATTTGAGGCTAGCCTGGGCTGCACAGCAAGACTCTGTCTCAGAAACAAACAAAAAACAAACAAACAGAGCCATTTCATCAGCAAAGCCATATAGGACACATATTAACATACATGTCAAACATTATATATGCTGTACCTTAAGGTCATCACATTCCATATCTTCTCTGGGTTTACTCCATTGTTTTAAGTATTCCATATACTTTCGCTTTTCTTCACGTAACTTCTCTCTTTCCTAACAAAAAAGGATAATAAAAATTTGTAAAAGAAATTTATCAGCATTAACATTATCTGAGAATCTATTACAAATACTTGGGCTCCTCCTCTAGAAACTCTGGGACGGACGGACGAACGGACGGACGGGCGCGCACGCGCGCGCACACGCACACACACACACACACACACACACGGTATTTTAATAAGCTCTTTTTAAAATTTTAATGCATTGATGAAAAAAAAACCAAACTATCAAAATGATACTATAAAAGCTGGGCACCAGTGACCTTCACCTGAAATCCTAGCAACACAGGAGGCTGAAATCTGAGGACTAATGAGGACTTTAGGCATGAGCCACCATATCCAGCTGTTAAGTACTGGTGGCTCAAGCCTACAATCTTCCGAAGTCAGGAGGTTGAGATCTGAAGATTGAGATTCAAGCCAGCCTGGGAAGGAAAAGTCCTTGAGACTCTTATCTCCAATGAACCACTAGAAAACCTGAGTGGAGCTGTGGCTCAAAGTGGTAAAAGCACTAACCTTGAGCTCAGGTAGAAGCCAGGCCCTGAGTTCAAGCCTCATGCCCAAAAAACAAAAAAAAGATAAAGTCTCACTATGTAGGCCCAGGCTCACTTGTGATCGATCCACTTCCCTCCACATCCCATAAGAGAGATTCTATCTTTAAAACAACAATTCTGGGATTTATAAGTGTGCACCAACATATTCAGATAAAAAATTATGTATCATCTTGCATAAATCTGTAATTCTAAATAATGAAAACAATCACTCATTTCACTTCAAACTTGAACTTTAAAAGATGTTTTATGTCAGGTATAAGAGCACACAGAATTATGCTAACACCAGCTATTAAACTTTCTCAAGTAAAACTGAGTATTATTATTATTTTATTATTATCATTATTAAATGCACTGTGAATGAAAGTAGTAAAAACACTGGAAAGTTAACTATGAGCATAAATATATAAAGTAATACTACCATATGCACAGAGGATTGAATACCTTTTCTCTTTCTATTTTAAGCCTCTCTTTTTCTTCTTTTTTCTTTAGTCTCTCTTCTTCAATTATTTTCTTCAATTCTTCCCTCTTTTTCTCTTTATCTTCCTTTTCTTTTTTCTTTGCTTCTATGGCATCTGCTCTTTCTCTTTTTAATTTTGCCTTTTCAAAAGCTGTGGAGAAAGTCAAACATAAAAACTATATACAGATAAAGAAACAAAATACTTGGCTCTTTTGTTTCTTAATATAACAAAAGCTGCCCTGAAATCTAAAAGACTCAGAAAATTCTTGAAGGGAGCCAGCAGGCGATTGATTAAAATGTAAAAGCAAGTCGGCTGGGTTTAAGAAAATAATACCAGGATAGATACTGTCTTTGAAAGCTCACATACTCACACTGAGGTCTGAAGACAATGCAGGATGGGCTGGGGTATGGCTCAACTGGTAAAACCTAGCAAGTGTGTTCAAAACCCCAATATCAGAAAAGAAGATAAAAGAAAAAAGCAAGCAAGCAAGCAGAGTTGTAGCCCCAATCCAAACTTATTTAGAATGTATATTTCAACAAAATCCATATTTGTAACATAGTTTAAAAGTCTGTGTGAATCCAACACAATGGTCAGAACAATTGGAAACCTTGAAACTGTTTATTTCTTAATCTAGCATTAAAGCAGATTAACAAGCTAATACCTCCCCAAAAATATTGTGATACTGATTTCAGAGCTTTGTGCTGTCTAGGTAGGCAAGCACTCTGCCATTTGAACAAAGTCCTGAAATACTGTTTGAAGAGAAGAGGTCTCAAATTATTTTAAAAAATGAAACTAGGGCCGTGAAGGTGGCTCAGTGGTAGAGTGCTTGCCTCGCATGCATGAGGCCTGGGTTTGACTCCTTAGCACCACATAAGCAGAAAAAGCCAGCTCAAGTGGTAGAGTGCTAGCCTTGAGCTGAAGAGCTCAGGGACAGGGACCAGGGCCAAAACTGACTTAAAGAAAAAATGAAGCCAGGAGCCAGTGGCTCATTCCTAGCTACTCAGAAGGCTGAGATCTGAGGATTATAGTTTAAAGCCAGAGAGAGCACATGCACAAATGCATACATGGGCATGCACTTACACACACACACAGAGAAGAAAAATAATTGGGGGGGGAGGGCCGCATTTATACACAAACCAGACAATGTATGATTTGAGAAATACCACCCACTGGGAACAGGAAAACAACCTCTCTTGTCCCTAAATAGTTATTGAAAATTAATATTAAAACTCACCTAGTGCCTTCATTTCTTCTTGTTTCAAAAGTTTGTCTCTTTCCTTAGTAGTTTTGTTCCTATATCCTGCAATAGTCTGTTTATTATCAATGTTGTCTTCCTAAAAAACAAAACAAGAAGCTAAAGTTGTAAACCACACAGTATATAATCAATGGCGTGTTTTTGCTCTTTTTTTTTTTTTTGGTCAGTTGTGTGGATTGAACTCAAGAGCCTGTGAGCTGTCCCTGAGCTTTTTTGCTAAAAGCTAGTGTTTCTACCACTTTGAGCAACAGCTCCACTTCCAGTTTTCTGATGTCTTTTGGCTTTTCCTGCCCAGGCTGGCTTTGCATCATGATCCTTAGATCTCAGCCTCCTAAGTAGCTCGAATTACAGGTGTGAGCCACCAGAGCCCCAGCTGGCTTGATTCTTATAGTGAGAATAAAAACCAAAAAATTAAAAACCCATATCAAGACTGGTAATAACATTTGTCTAACAAGTGCAATGAACTGGTTTGATCCCCAGCACTGAGAAAAAAAAGTCTACATTTTGTTCATACTAAAATGAATTTTAGAGCTAGTAGTAATGGTGCCTGCCTATAATCCTGCTACATGGGAGACAGAGGCAGGAGGATTGAAACTTTTATCAAAGAATCAAAATATAAATCAAAGGGCTGAGGTTTGGCCCAACTAGGAGAGTTCTTGCCTAGTATGCACCAGGTCCTGCATTCAATTCTTACCACCATGAACTAGAATAGAATGGAATGGAATACAATGAGCTTCATTTTGAAATATAAACTTTTAATAATTCTAATGTATAGGAGCTGAGAGAATTCTATAGTTCTGCACACTGATTATCACAAGAAAGATAATATTCAGAGAAATCTTTAAAAACACATTACTTGATAAGCTAGTAAATATCAAATATGAAAGACGCAAAGAAAAGACATATCAGAAATATTTGTGTGGCCAATGTTAAATATTAAGCATTTATTTTTGCTTTATTTCTTGTAAGAATGTCTCTAGCCTGTTTAATGAGTTTATTATCTCAAATATAAAAATGTAACAAAATATAGTTTATCTGAATATTTGAAAATGTAGCATTTGCCAGGCATAGTACTAAATCATGGTAAAACAAAACAGACTCCCTTTCATAGTTAAACAGAGAAGTCACATATAAAATAAGTAAAAGATGAGAAGGCTCATCACAGGTACAATTCAACATTCTTTGTGAACATCTCCCAAATCTCAGAATTCAACTAAATTCTAAAATAGAAAGGCTAAGTGATCAAATGGGATAGCTGTTAAAAAGTGGTAATTATTCTAACCTTAGTTATCTCAGTAATAGTATCAGTATTACTCTGCATCATTGAAGCAGAGCAAAAAATGCAAGTGGCATTTTTTAATTTTTATTTACTCTATTTTATTTTTTTTGTCCGTCATGGGGCTTGAACTCTGTCCCTCAGTTCTTCAGCTCAAGGAAAGTGGTCTACCACCTGAGCCACAGAGCCACTTCCGGTTTTCTAGTGGTTTATTGGAGATAAGAGTCTCACAGACTCTCCTGCCCTGGCTGGCTTTGAACCGAGTTCCTCAGATCTCAGCCTCCTAAGTAGCTAGGATTACAGGCATGAGCCACCAGTGCCCGGCTGCATTTTTTAAATTCAAAACAAAGCTTATCTGTTACTTTTGAGAAAAGTGAGTCGACTTCCCTGAGATCTTATCTCTTCATCTATTAAATGTAACCCTCCTTATTTTGAAGAGCTATTATGACGCTCTTAAAAACACATATGGGAAGGTGGCTCAGTGGTACAGCGCTTGCCTTGCATGCATAAGGCCCTGGGTTCGATTCCTCAGCACCACATAAGCCAAAAGAAAAAAGCCAGAAGTGGCACTGTGGCTCAAGTGGTAGAGTGCTAGCCTTGAGCTGAAGAGCTGAGGGACAGCGCCCAGGCCCAGAATTCAGGCCCCACGACTGGACCAAAAAAAAACAACAAAAAAAAACACATATGTATATATTCTTCTACATATGGAACACCAAGTATACAGTAGGAATTAAAGGCAGTATATTATACTGAAAAGGCTTTGGAAGAAAGAAATAGGTTTCATCTGTGGGTAGAGAAGGAAGTATAGTTACAAGTGACAAGGGCATGGGTGAAGGAAAGAATGCACAGAATACTCCAACTAAGGTTTTCATAGGCAAGAAGAAAAAAAATCTGTTTATCCCTCCTATAGTCCCAAGAAACTCTAGAAACACATAAAACCTGGAAATAACTCAAGATTCCTCAAAAGTTCCAAATTATGCTGAATATAACACTCATCCCAAAACTAGATAGGTACTAATCAAAGAAAGAACTATAGACCCATTTCTTTAATGAACATCAGTGCAAAACTTCACAATAAAATTTTGGCCAACTAAATTCAAAAACCAAAAAAATCATACACTATGATCAAATGGGATTCATTCCAGGGATGCAAAACTGATTCAATATACTTAAGTCAATTAATGTAACACATCAACAGAAGCAAGGACAAAAACCACATGATCATCAATAGATGTAGTAAAAGTACTTGAGGGCTGGGAAAGTGGCTCAGTGGTAGAGTGCTTGCCTTGCACGCATGAGGCCCTGGGTTTGATTCCTCAGCACCACATAAGCACAAAAAGCCAGAAGTGACACTGTGACTCAAGTGGTAGAGCACTAGCCTTGAGCTGAAGAGCTGAGGGACAGTGCCCAGGCCCAGAGCTCATGCCCCATGACCCACAAAAAAAAAAAGAAAAGAAAAGAAGAGAAAAGAAAAGAAACAAAAAAGCACTTGACTTGGAGAAGCTAGGAATCCATGGAATATTCTTCAATATAATAAAGACTGTTGCAGGCTGGAAATGTGGCTTAGTGATAGAGTGCTTGTCTAACATGCATAAAGCACTGGGTTCAATTCCTCAGAACCACATAAACAGAAAAAGCCAGAAGTAGAGCTGTTCAAATGGCAGAGTGTTAGCCTTGATCAAAAGCAGCTCAAGGACAGTGTTCAGGCCAAGGTCAAGCCCCAAACTGGCAAAAAATAAAAAAATAAAATAAAAAATAAAGGTTTTATATGACAAGCCTACAGCCAGCATTATACTTAATTGTGAAAAGTTAAAACCATTTTCTCTAAAATCAGGAACAAGACACTCTGTCCTCTTTCTCTACTCCTCTTCAACATAATATTGGAATTTCTAGCTACAGCAATAAGGCATGAGACAAACATAAAGGGTATCCAAATAGGGAAAAGAAGTAAAACATGATCCTGTATTGAAAGAACCCCACAGATTCCTCTCCCAAGCTACTTCAGCTGATCTGAAACTTTGGCAAAGTAGCAGGGTATAAAGTCAGTAGCTATTCTGTATGGAAACAATGAGAAGATTGAGAATGAAATGAGAAAGGCAACTCAAACAAAACAAAAACAAAAAAACAAACCCTAGGAAGGAATTAACCAAAGATGTGAAGGACCTCTATGATGAAAACTTCAAAAATCTGAAAAAAGAAATTAAAGCAGATTTAAAGAAATGGAAATTTTTTCCATACTTTGAAAAGATTAACATTGTAAAAATGAAAATACTCCCCAAAGATATCTACAAATTTAATGCAGTACCCATCAAAATCCTAACAACATTCTTCAATGATAGAGAAAAGCAATCCAAAAATTCCTATGGAACAATAAAATACTCCAAATAACAAAAATATTCCTTAGCAGGAAAAACAGTGTTAGAGGAATATCAATACCAAACTTCAAACTTCTATCTAAAGTTTTGGGTTTTTTGGTCTAAGACCAGGATTCAGCTTTTTAATTTTTTGCTAGTGTTTGGGGCTTGAATTCAGGGCCTGAGCACTGTCCTGAGCTCCTTTTGCTTAAGGCTAATAATGCTCTACCACTTGAGCCACAGTGCTACTTCTGCCAAACTTCAAACATTATTACAAAGCCATAGTAAGAAAAAACAGCTTTGGGGCTGGGAAGGTGGCTCAGTGGTAGAGCGCTTGCCTTGCATGCATGAGGCCCTGGGTTCGATTTCTCAGCACCACATAAGCCAAAAGAAAAAAGCCAGAAGTGGCACTGTGGCTCAAGTGGTAGAGCGCTAGCCTTGAGCTGAAGAGCTGAGGGACAGCACCCAGGCCCAGAGTTCAGGCCCCAGAAACCAGAACCCCCCCCCCAAAAAAAAACAGCTTGGTACTCATTTAAGAATAGGCCTGAACTTAAGAAACAAAGAACTCCCACTCATCTGGTCGAACCACTACTAAATATCCCCATGCTGCTGATCACATGTATGGTGTATATGTGTACACCGTTATATGTTATAGATTGTGATAGACAATTTGCTCCAGGAAAGTTAGAATGAACTTGTGACTTTAAATGAGCATCATTATTCCACAATACTGTGAAATTCCGGAAATTATGTAATCACTTAATCACAATTTAAAAAAAAAAAAAAAGAACCTGGGGAAGGTAGGGAGGGAAGGGATGGTAGGAGGAAAACAATGGAGGGGGTAACAATGCTCAATAGGAAGTGTACTCATTACCTTACTCATGTAACTGTAACCCTCTGTATAGTATCTTTACAATAAAAAATTAAAAAAAAAAAAAGAATAGGCCTGAGGACCAATTGAATAGACCCAGAAATGAACCCACAGACTTATAACCACCTAATATTTGATAAGGGAGACAAAAACACAGGATGGAAGAAGAAAACCTCTTCAATGAATGGTGCTAGCATAATTGGCTATCCACATGCAGAAAACTGAAGTTAGATCCTTATATATCACCCTGCACCAGAATCAATTACAAATGGATCAAAGACCTCAATGTAAGACCAGATACCATGGAAATATTAGAGTAAGGGATATGGGAAACACTAGGGCTCCTTGGCACAGATTGAAACTTCCTAAGATCCAGAATCACAACAAATTGAAAAAAAGACTGGATAAAATGGGATTGCACTAAGAATTTCTGCATGGCAAAGGATATAGCTAGCAAGATAAACAGAAAGCCCACAGAATAGGAAACCATTTTTACTAGTTATGCATCAGACAAAGGCCTCATATCTAAAATATACTATAAAAAATTAATCCCCTCTAAACCTTCAAAGAAACAAAAACCCAATTCATAAAGACTTAAAGAGAGATTTCTTTCTCAGAAGAAGTAAAAATGACCAATAGTTACAAGAAGAAACATTCCAATGTCTGGCCATAGAAGAAATGCAAATCTGGGACTGGGAAGATGGCTCAGTGGTACAATGCTTGCCTTGCCTGCATGAGGCCCTTAGTTCAATTCTCAGCACCACATAAACAGAAAAAGCCAGAAGTGGCGCTGGGGCCCAGAGTTCAAGCCCCACCACCGACAAAAAAACACAACAACAACAACAAAAAAACTCTCAACAAAGAAATGCAAATCAAAACAACACTGAGATTCAACCTCACTCCAATTAGAATGGCCATTATCAAGAAAACTAACTGTAACAGATGTTGGTGGAGATGTGGCCAAAAGGGAAGACTACTTCCCTTTTGTTGGTGGGAGGTAAACTTGTTCAAACACTCTGGAAAGCTGTATGGAGGCTCCTCAAAAGACTATACATAGATCTTCCCTATGACCTAGGAATTGCACTCCTGGTCATTTATCAAATAGACCACAAACAAGGCTATACTAAAGTTACCAGCACAACTATGTTCACTGCAGCATTGTTTACCATAACTGAGATATGGATAGAATCTACCCAGATGCCCCTCAGTGGATGAAGATCAAGAAAATGTGGTAAATAAACAAAACAGAATTCTATGCTTACATCAGAAAGAATGATACTGCTCCATTCATAAGGAAATGGAAAGACTTGGAAGTAAGCAAAGTAAGCCAGACCTACAGAAACATAGGTTGCATGATTTCCCTCATTTGTAGTAATTAGAATGTGCCTAAAAAACTATAAGCAGGGGCTGGGAAGATGGCTCAGTGATAGAGCGCTTGCCTTCCATGCCTAAGGCCCTGGGTTCGATTCCTCAGCACCACATAAGCAAAAAGAAAAAAGCCGGAGTGGCGCTGTGGCTCAAGTGGTAGAGCGCTAGCCTTGAGCTGAAGAGCGCAGGGACAGCGCCCAGGCCCAGAGTTCAGGCCCCACATCCGGACCCAAAAACAAAAACAAACAAACAAAAAACTATAAGTAAACACAATGAATGGAAAAAGACAAAAAATTATCCTTAGTCACGATAAATTAAACAGGATTCTAAACATTCACAGTGAAACCAAAGGAAGATATACCTTAAGAGAGGATCATGAAGGCTCAATAGCTATGTGCATGTGACCATATGAAATGATGCTTATCGAAATGAACTCCAAGAAATGGAAACAAGGGGCTGGGAAGGTGGCTCAGTGGTAGAGCACTTGCCTTGCATGCATGAGGCCCTGGGTTCAATTCCTCAGCACAACATAAGCAAAAAGAAAAAAGCAGGAAGTGGTAGTGTGGCTCAAGTGGTAGAGCGCTAGCCTTGAGCTGAAGAGCTGAGGGACAGCGCCCAATCCCAGAGTTCAGGCCCCACGACCTGACCCAAAAAAAAAAAAAAAAAAGAAATGGAAACAAGAGGCTCTTTGTTATTTTGCTTCCCCCTCCCCCCAACTTTTGTCATTGTTTTTGATTTCCGTAACTTTGGGAGCATAGAAATGGTGGGACAGGGCTGGGAAAGTGGCTCAGTGGTAGAGCGCTTGCCTTGCATGCATGAGGCCCTGGGTTCGATTCCTCAGCACCACATAAGCAAAAAGAAAAAAAAAAAGAAAAAAGCTAGAAGTGGCACTGTGGCTCAAGTGGTAGAGTGCTAGCCTTGAGCTGAAGAGCTGAGGGACAGCGCCCAGGCCCAGACAGAGTTCAGGCTCCTCGACCGTACCCCGCCCCCCCCCAAAAAAAAGAAATGGTGGGAGACAAAGGATGACCAAATGCAGCAGTGATACTAGCCACAATGTTGAAAACAAACTATACAACTTGCAGGGGAGAAGGGATTAGAAGGGAAAAACTGGGGAAAAAAATGAAGGAAGAGGTGACACTGTTCAAAAGGAAATATACTTGCTAACCTGACTTATGTAACTTTAACCCCTCTGTATATCATGTTTACACTAAAAATAAATAAATAAGTAAATAAATTGTGCTGAATATGCTTGAAGTTATTCTTAGGAGAAGTGGAAGGTGGCAGACAAATCATGATAGCCATTAGCCATGAGAACAAAACCAAATGCAATCAACTCAAAGTAAGAGAAAAAATAAATTCAGAGCCTGGCACTGGTGGCTCATACCTGTAATCCTAGCTTCTGAGGATCTGAGGATTGTTGTTCAACGCCAGCAAGGACAAGGAAAGTCCATGACTTTTTTCTTTGGGGGGGGGTGAATAGAGGGGGGAGGGTCAGTCATGGGGCTTGAACTCTGGGCCTGGGTGCTATCCCTGAACTCTTCAGCTCAAGACTAGCACTCTACCCTTGAGCCAGTGCCACTCCAATTTTCTGGTGGTTAATTGGAGATAATCTCACATACATTCCTGCCCAGGCTGGCTTTAAACCGTGATCCTCAGATCTTAGTCTAAGGATCTCCTGAGTAGGTAGTATTATAGGCCAGCTCTCTGTGGCTCAAGTGGTTGAGCACTCACCTTGAGCTGAAGAGCTCAGGGCCAGAGTTCAAGCCCCATAACCCACAAAAAATAAATAAATAAAAAAGAAATCAGAAGGGAATAAAGGATTAGAATAATCAAAAATATATTTCAGGCAACTGTATCAGTTTGCCCAATTCTAGAAATTTTCAGTCTTTGATTCCTGACTTGGGTAATGGCAATATCTTGAAGAAGAAAAATTCACTACTGCTAAAGGTGAGAAGATAAATGTGAAAGTGAGCTCAGGATAAACACATTAATCATTCATACTGCCTCCTTTTATTCCTGTTCTAAAACTCCTTAGGGAAGATTCAGTTTACACTTTAGGGTCTCTCATTAAATACACTGAATTAGTACTTGATATTTGCTTGGTTTTAGGCCACCATTTTCAGTTTGTACATAAAGCAAATAGTATGAAGCAATCTGGTTATTATAATGGAAAAGCTATTAGAACTACTTTATGATACAGAGAAATTAGAATCTCAAGAATCAATACAGAATTTCTGCCTCATTTTCATTATATCCCTCCACTACTAACAGACTAGCCATGCTATATATACTATTTCGCGATCCAAACACCTTTTCTAGCTTTTTGCCTCATCACTAGAAATCTTTTTTGTTTTTGAGTGTTCATGGCTGAGGCCTGAAGTTAGAGACCTCTCACTTGTTTTTTCCCTGTACCACACTTCAATTTCACACTTCTTTTTGTTCCGGTTGTGGGACTTGAACTCTGGGCCTGGGTGCTCTATCACATGAGCCACAGCACCACTTCTGGTTTTCTGGTGGTTTATTAGAGATAAAGAGCCTCATGGACTTTCCTGCCCAGGCTGCTTTAAACCACAATCCTCAGATCTCAGTTTCCTGAGTAGCTAGGATTACAGGTGTGAGCCACCAGCGCCCAGCTTCAACTTCTTTTTGCTGGTTAATTGGAGATAAAAGTCCTGTGGATTTGTCTGCCCAGAATGGCTTCAAACTATAATCCTCAGGTATCAGTCTCCTAAGTAACTAGGAACATAGGCCTGATTTCAACATTAGGAATCTTACATTTTGTCTAGCTTTAACATTACTGCCTTCTTAAAGATCTCCATAATTTCCTCCAGTCAGAATTTATTGCTCTTAACACCTGAATCCATAGTTTAATCACTGTATTTCCTCTTTTTATGAATTTCAGTAACTGCTCATATGCTTGTTTCACCTTGGTATAAAATCTCTGTGGTATGAGATCCATGTCTAATTTACTCTTGAAATTTCAGATAGCACCATGGAGCACTAGTGTGAAGTAATGTGTTTCTTCCTACAGACCATATGGGTCACAGGAACCAAACAAGTCTTGCTTCTGAATACTGTTTTATTAACAACTAAAAGGTAGTTCTAACCAGATGCTAGTGGGCTCATGACTAACTCTATCTACTCAGGAGGCTGAGATCTGAGGGTTGAGGTTTAAAGCCAGGCAGGAAAGTCTATAATATTCTCTAGTTAAACACCAAAAAGACAGAAGTAGAGTTGTGGCTCAAGTAGTAGTAGATCATTAGCCTTGAGCAAAAAAAGCTCAGTGGAAAATGCCTAGGCCCTGAGTTCAAACCCAAGGACTGGCACAGACACATACAAAAAAGGTAGTTCTGACCTCTTCCCTACTTACCTGATTAACAGATATTCGTTTGGGAGGTCTCCCCCTCCGTCTGTTAGCAGGACTGAAGATAAATGTAGGTGGATCATCAGGGAAGAAATAAGAAAAATCTTGTTCTGCTATTTTATATGTTGAAAGAGATGATGCCTTAATAATGGAAAAAAAACAGACACTACAATACATCAGTAAACCACATACAGATATGCTCTATACATCATATGAACCATTAATTAAAGACCAGGCCAAAAATGTTAGAATTTCATGTGCTATTGTATAGTGAAATATAGTTTACTATATAACTGGTCCCCTCCTTGCTTCCTTCCCTGTCTTCCTTCCTTTCTATTCTTAAAACATTTTAGGGTTATTATTTTTGTCTGTAATCATTAGCCAATTAAATTCTCATAAGATACCTATAAGATAGATATTATTTGCCCCATGTCACATATGATAAAACCAAGGCACAAAGAGCTAGGCAGCATGCCAAAGGCTATAGTCAACAAGTCCATAGCCTGGTTTCAAAACCAGCCCATTGATTCCAGAGACTGTATATTTTATCCACTATACAATAACCTCAAATTGCAGCTAGACAGTATTTGCCTATTTAACAGCAAAGACATTGAACTGAGATTTTCCTACCTTTTTTTCCAGGTCATGGAGCTTGAACTCTGGGCCTGGGCACTGTGCCTCAGCTCTTCAGCTCAAGGCTAGCCCTCTACCATTTGAGCCACAGTGCCACTTCCAGCCTTTTCTACTTATTTGGTCCTAAGAAATCAAACCTGGGGCCTCATGCATGCAAGACACGCACTTTACCACTGAGCCACCTTCCCAGCCCAGATTTTCCTACTTTTGAGAAAATAGTATGAAAGGTTCAAATAGTTGTATCTACCAAGCAAAGTCAAGGTCCTAAGTACAAATCTAATCTGTCTAAGCTTTTTGAGTTCTCTGATTATAAGGCATGCACCATTACGTTGGGCCTTCAACCCTAGACTTGCTCCATTTCTAGCTTTTTAGTAATAAATTGGAGAAAAAAGTCCCACAAACTTTCTGCCATGGGCTAACTTCAAACCATGATCATCATGATCTTCAAATCTTAGCCTCTTGTGTAGCTAGTATTACCAGCATGAGCCACCAATGCCTGACTTTTCTTTTTAGTTGATTTTTTAAAAAGTTCTGTGGAAAGGGGTGACACTGTCCAAAAAGAACTGTACTCTACACAACTTACATAATAGTAAGTCCTCTACAATAACCTTTATAATAACAAAACAATTTTAAGTGCATAGCCATTCTTTCTCTAGACTGTCAAAATTGTAAATTTTTTTTAAGCTAAGATTACAGATATGTACTACCAGGGCTGACTTGTTTGTTAACATGGAGGTCTTACTAACTTTTTGCCAAATCTGACCTAAAATTTTCAGTAGGGGATTATACAGGCATGCTACTATGCCAGGCCATCTAGTTTTATTGATTGATTTGATTTTGTAGCAGTCCTGGGGCTTGAACTAAAGAATCTGAGACATGTCCCTGAGCTCAAGGCTAGTGCTCTACCACTTGAGCCATGCCTCCAGTCCAGCTTTCTGCTGGTTATTATGGACATGGACTCTTATGGACTTTTCTGCTTAGGCTAGCTCCATACCATGATCCTCAAGATCTAAGCTTCTGTGTAGCTATGCATGAGCAACTAGAACCTAATTTTGAAATGTTATTTTTTTACATAGAGTAACTACTGTTGGTTCAGCAGTGATATTCACTAGACACTGTGTTGGAAATAAACTATACAACCGGGTGGGGAGGAGGTCAAGAGGGGAAATAACTAGGAAAAAATGAGGAAGGGGGAAACACTGTTCAAAAAGAAATGTACTCATTACCTGATTTACAATAAGAATTTTTTTCATGCATTACATAAAATGAAATGTACAAATCTTAAGCATCAGCTTGTGATAGATGTATTTATATTTGTGATAGATGTATTTGCATAAATCTAAATGCATACATTCATGATCAATGCATACATCTTTTTGTTTAGTTTGTTCTTTGACAACATCCAGATTTGAACTCTGGCTTGCACTTGGCTAATATATTATTTTTTGAGGCTGACCCTGAAATTTCACTCTTCTTGCCTCTCCCTTCAGAATGTTGAGATTAAGGGTGCACACCACCACAAATGGCATTCTATTGCTTTTTCTTTTTCTTTTTTTGGGGGGCGGGGGAGTCTGGTCATGGGGCCTGAACTCTGGGCCTGGGCGCTATCCCTCAGCTCTTCAGCTCAAGGCTAGCGCTCTACCACTTGAGACACAGCACCACTTCTGGCTTTTCTATTTTTGCTTATGTGGTGCTGAGGAATTGAACCCAGGGCCTCAGGCATGCAAGGCAAGTGCTCTACTACTGAGCCACCTTCCCAGCCCTATTGCTTTTTCTTAATACTTCTTTATCCTCAAATGAGTTAGTTTACATTTTGGAAAATTAGTCATACTTTTACCATCTTATTATTTAATGTAAAATGTGAGGTCTCTAAGAACTATTTCCTCCTTAGTAGGCCTATAATATACTTATTTTATCTAAATTATTCTCTTATCTGGAGGCACCTATTTCAGCACTGTTCTTTTTTTTTTTTTTTTTTTCCAGTCATGGGGCCTGAACTCTGGGTCTGGGTGCTGTCCCTCAGCTCTTAAGCTAGGCTAGCGCTGTACCACTGGAGCCACAGAGCCACTTCCGGCTTTTTCTGTTTATGTGGTGCTGAGGAATTGAACCCAGGGCCTCATGCTTGCAAGGCATGCACTCTACCGCTGAACTACCTTCCTAGCCCTTCAGCACTGTTCTTAAAATCCATTTACTACTCATAATCCAGACCTACCCTATTAAAAGCAATCTTATTACATTAGTTTCTTTTTTCCAAGCTACCTATTTTCACCTGTCCTAATTGATCTTTCATATAAGAAAAAATAAATGGTAGTATCTGACACAATTAACAGTTATAAAAATAGTATTTAAGCCGGGCGCTGGTGTCTCACGCCTGTAATCCTAGCTACTCAGGAGGCTGAGATCTGAGGATCTCGGTTCAAAGCTAGCCCGGGCAGGAGAGACCGTGAGACTCCTATCTCCAATAAACCACCAGAAAACCGGAAGTGGCGCTGTAGCTCAAGTGATAGAGCGCTCGCCTTGAGCTGAAGAGCTGAGGGACAGCGCCCAGGCCCAGAGTTCAAGCCCCATGACCGACAAAAAAAAGAAAAATAGTATTTAATTCAGTAAAATTATTTTGTGTGTGTGTGTTGGTACTGGAGCTTGAACTCAGGGCCTAAGCACTATCCTTTAGCTTCTTTTGCTCAAGGCTAGTGCTCTACCACTTGAGCCATAGCTCCACTTCTGGCTTTTGCTCTTTTAATTGGAAAGATAAAAGTTGTCTGGGTTTGAATCACCATTGTAGTGTCTGGCTTCAATAGCATTTTGTGTGTGTGTATGTGTGCATGCGTGTGTGTGAGTACGTGTGTGAGTGCGTGTGTGTTGGTCCTGGGGCCTGAACTCAGGGCCTGCGTGCTATGTTCTGGGCTCAAGGGTAGTTCTCTACCACTTAAACCACAGCAGCACCACTTCTAGCTTTTTTCTGAGTAGTTTATTAAAGATAAGAGTTTCACAGACTTTTTTGGCTCTTGATAAATAAAAGCTTTGTAAAAGATAAATAATATTACAGCAACATTACAACTACATAATACTAGCCACGTTTTGCTTATTTCCAAAAAACAATTTCACTATTCTTAATACCTTAATTTTAATGACTCCATCTTGTGATTCACAGTGTTGCTTCAGAAAAAGTTTCAGTTTATCACGAGAAAATAGGTGTTTTCTTCTGCTAGGGGCATGGGAAGGGGAGAAGATGGTAGTATTAATATCAAAGAATTCAACCCAAACTCCATACTATTTAAAACGTAAATTTGAAGCAAAGAAAATGGTACACATATTGGCAGATATTTTGTCCTCGAATAGTATTTATATAGAAATTATTAGGAACTTTACAAAAGGTATTTATGGGGGCTGGGAAGGTGACTCAGTGGTAGAGAGCTTGCCTTGCATGCTCAAGGCCCTGGGTTCGATTCCTCAGCACCACACAAGAAAAAAGAAAAAAGCCGGAAGTGGCGCTGTGGCTCAAGTGGTAGAGCGCTAGCCTTGAGCTGAAGAGCTGAGGGACAGCGCCCAGGCCCAGAGTTCAGGCC